TCTTTATCAAACTTAGATCGTTCCAAGATGATAAGTTGTTCAAAATCTGAAATTTGATTTAAATGAAATTTAGCATTCAGCTCAAGAGAATTAATTTTATTTTCATAAGATTCACGTTCAGTACAAAATCTTTTCTCTATTTCAGAAAATCTTTTCTTCTCTTTTTCAAAAACTAATCTTTCAGTATCCAGACTTTGTTCAGACTCCAAAACTTTTCCTTTCTCTATCTCCAGTAAGTTCTTTAATTCAATCAAATCAATCTCATGTTTATGAATTTTCTCATTGAAGTCCTCAGTCTCTATATTTTTTCTCCCAAAAGAGTTCTTCTCAGCATTTAGTTCATTTTGAACTTTTTGGAGTTTATTAAACAAATTTTTATTAGACTTACTCCATGTTTTTATCTCTTTGTCACATTCTATTCTGACATCATCCAAGGATTATTTAAGTTTATTAATCTGATACTTGGATTATTCTCAACTCTTTCTAATATTTCTTTATGCTCCAGATTCAAAATTTAATACTTTTCTCATTAGCATAATACATAATTTTATAGTTCACAATGCTCTTTTTCAGCTCAGCAATCTTCTCTCTCATCTCCTTTAGAATATCTACCATTAAAAAAAATTGATCAGTTATAGGATCTATGCAGTGAAATCAGTAAAAGAAATAAGAAACAATTAAGCTCAAAATACAAACAAAAACACACTAAAACTGATGAGAAATCAGATAATTGACGAAAACTGTAAAAAAAATCAGTAAAAACAGTCAAAACTGTTGAAAACAGTTAAAAACTGTTAAAAACAGTCAAAGACAGTTGAAACTGATGAAAAACAGTTTACGCGACGGAAAACAGATCAATGATTCTCAAAGAGTTTAAAAACAAATAAAAACAAACAATGATCAAAATTAAAATCTAAACAAAAACACAAAAAAATTAAGATGAAACAAACCCAATAAAACTGTTCAAGAAACAAAACAAAACAAAAACAGTTACACGATTATAGGTAAAAGATAGTCCGAGAACATAGTTCGAGAATATACGACCCAATTACAAACTAATTCAAAATCGTAACAAAATCCCTTAATATGATTACACCAAATGAAATTCTCGGTCAATTCAAATGGTTGATGTTGAAAGGAGTTCTTTGCTTGGTAGCGTGTAAGAGCTGTTACAATCCTTGATTCACAACYAATAGGTATMTGTGCAGCTTCCTCTAGCAGTCTYTGTTTGTGCTTCGTCCTGAATGACAGCAACACTTGGTAAACAGATTCTGTGTGATTTAATCTTGAACCAAAATGAAACAATAATCCAACGCTAAAYTGTCYAAAACAACCAAGTCAAATACAGTTTAAGCCAGAACAGTTAAAACTGAATTAAAACCAATAGTGATCAACTCGAAAAAGCTGTTGTTTTTCACAATGATATATCAACTTAGATCACCAAACAGACTACAATAACAAGACTGTTTACTGTTCACTTCAAGATAAAATCTGTTTACTGCATGAATAAGATCAGGTCAACACAAAGCAAACAATTCACAACCTCTCAAGTCTGCTCAAAGCTACCTAAACCTGTTGTATATTGCTAAACCACCTCACTGCACAAACTGTTAAAACAAAGAAATATGCAGTATTTACAGAAGCTCTACTTCACAACCTTCTGCATTGAAAGTTCAAACAGGTTTAATCGCTCAAAAATACAACAAACTATGGAATTAAATCAGCAAAGTCTGTCATTTTCATATAATCATTCGATCCTAAAATAGTGTTATCCCCACTCTTATTATCAGCAGCAATATCAAACAAGTCAAGGTGGATTAAGCAGCATTTGACAAATGAAAATGAAGCCACAAGCAGCAAATGATCAACATGGCCAAAATCCTCAATAGATGCAAGCCTTGCGAAATCTTGGTTCAGACAGAATGGAAACACATCAAGTTCAGGCTATGAGAAACTTACAGATGCGATTTAAAAAAAAATCTGCACTAGTTCAACAATCTCGCAATCCATATGATCAACAGCTGCAAACAAAAACTTTCAGCTCAACATTTAACTTCAATTCTGCTTTCATTGTCATATTCTCCACAATTAGAAGAATGCCTTCAGCTGGCTCAATGGCATCAATGGAGAATGCAACAGTTATGTTTAAATCTATTTAAAGCTTAAAACAAGTCAACGAAACAAAATTTCTTTGTCAATCCAGGCAAAAAAAAATTAGAGTCGTATACACATAGCAGCTTAGATGATTAAGATTGAACCTGTACTAAATCGCCTGGTTACAAGATTGCATCAGGTAAACAGCTTGTAAAAAAATGTACCTGTGCAGCTTGTAAAAACAGTAACTCTTTCTAAATTTGCAACACCAAAACAATGTATCAACTCAGATGTCAAAGAAGATGAAACTTAAAACCAGTCAAAGTAACTTTCAATTCGGGTAGATGTGAGTAAACCTAATCCGGACAAACTGTTGTTCAAGAATTTTTCGAACTTGAAATCGTATGAACTTCGAGGAAGATGATCAATCTTCATTAATGAATCTCCTTCTCTTGATCGATCAAAATCTGCTTATGACATATTAAATCGCTCAAGACTTCTTCTAAATCGCTCAATCAGATTGTTCTAAATCGCTCACAACTCAAACTAATCCGCTCAATAAATCGCTCACAAGCTAATCCTAAATCGCTCATGTATCCGCTCAAAGCTAATCCTAAATCGCTCATGTATCCGCTCAATAAATCGCTCACACAGATTCCTAAATCGCTCAAGCTTTCTACGATTAAATCAAACCAAACTTACCTCATGTTCGAATTCGTTCAATCTGAGTTACCCTTGTGGCTAAATCGCTCAGAAATCTGGTTGATCTTGTGCGATGAAGTCTCCGATTAAGGTTGAAATCGATGAACCTTGTAGGTGATTAATCCCCAAATCAAGAATGCCTGCAATTTAGTTGCTAAAAAAAATCTGAGCAATGAAGATGAAGAAAACAGTAGGTGAAGAAAAAAAATGGACCTTGAGCTCTTTTAACAAAAATTGGGTCTTGGGCTGAAGAAAAACACAAAAAATAAAAGAAAATATTAACACAAATAGATCAAAACACTGAAATTTTTAAAAAAAATAAGAACACAAAAGAAAATTCAAAACCACAAAATTCACTAAAACTTGAAAAACAAAGATTAAAACTCAAATCTTTGTGTATAACAAAGATTCACGAATTAAAAACGCACACAACGATTACGGTTTTAACACGAAAACAAAAAAAAATTAAAAAAATTAGCGGGGTGTGACTAACTTGGTATCAGAGCCATAGGTTATAGAGAACACCGGTTTTCTATTAAAACCAAATACTATAACCAAATGATTTTAATATATATATATATATATATATATATATATATTCTAAACTAATTTAGTTTACTACTGGTATAATTGGACTAAGTATTAACTTAGCATATTATAATTAGGCAAAGACTGATCACCTATGTCTAATTTAATATGTTTAAGGAGGAACAAGGAACAATTATATTGGAAGTCGGCTAAAATAAAAATTTATTGCCCAAAGGAAAAGCATAATTGTGAGTTGCATGAGTATTTTCATTTTTTGAATTATTATTTACTTAAGTACAGTTAGTAATTAAATTTGTTACTGTCACAGTTTAAGAATGTCTCACTCATCCTCACCCCCTGAGCACTCCCTTGACGAATCCGGTTACTTTACCAGCCTCCCTAGGAGAAACCAACACGTCCGTGAGGAGAGTGACCCGTCCGAGGAAAGTGACGCAGCCACCCGAGAGACTTCTGTTGAATCATCTGTACCTACGCCACCTCTGGTCGATGTGGATGGTCCGTCGCGAGGACCTAGGATCATGAGAACCCCCCGAAAGTGTGTTCTCCCTCCCAGGAGGGTGACTATCACAATTCCCTCCGAGCCTCTGAGCGAGCCAGCCGGATCGCAGTCCCGATCATGGAGCATGAACCCTCCTCCCCCAGCAATTGGAGTTCCGGTGCCACAACCATGGGGCATGACTGCAGTGGAAAACTTTTGGGTCTCAGGCTTGAGCAGTCAGTTACAGTCCCACCATTATACACTTGATCACGTCCAGCAGTCCTTAGACGACATTTTTACAGTTTTGCTCACACAGGATGATCTTACTACGGGAATTATGGAGGTCATTTTCGAGACTAGGAGGGCAATTCGGAGATTGTACGCGTACTTGTTTTGGACGGTAGGAGCTTTGGTGATGATAATAGGGATATTGATTAGGGTGTTAATACGTTAGGAAACTCCCGTTATTTTGAAACTTTTGGGTGGATAATACCTTCTTTTAGGGCTTGTAGCCTATATGTTTAAATTTAAACAATTTAATGTCTTTTGGGTTATATTTTAAAACTTATGTTTGGTTTACTTTGGCTATTTATGAAATTTATGCATGTTATCTATTTATCGCATGTTGTTTTGGAGTATATGTTTTCATGAATAATGTTAGATGTATGTTATAAGATACGTATAATTTAGCAAGTAGACTTATTATGGCCATAGTAACATAAGTTGACCAAAACCCAATTTAAAATTGTGTTTTAGAATAATGCCTCCGAGAAGGGATGATTCCGAAGTTGCACGACTTGTATCCGAGCAACTCATGGCTGCACTTCCAAACATTGTTAGCCAAGTGGCAGCTGGCCTGAATAATAATCAAAACAACAATCAAGGGTCAGGAAATAGAGAATGTACGTACAAATCCTTTAGGAGTTGTAATCCGAAGGAATTTTATGGAACTGAGGGAGCCGTGGGATTACTGACTTGGTTAGAGAGTATGGAGTCTGTGCTCCATATTAGTGAATGTACAGAAGGGAAGAAAGTAGAGTTTGTTGCATGTCTATTACAAGAACGAGCATTAACTTGGTAGAATACCCAAGTACAAACTCGGGGCCGAGAAGCCGCCAACGGTCTTATGTGGGAAGATTTTAAGAGGATGATGAAAGAAGAGTATTGTCCAAGAAGCGAGATCTAGAAACTGGAAGCAAAATTATGGAATCATGAAATGAGAGGAAATATAGACTCTTATACTGCACGTTTTCATGAGTTGGCAAAAATGGTACCGCATCTAGTGACGCCTGAAGAGGATCGAGTTGATAGATATATTTGGGGATTATCTCCGGTGATACGCGGGGATGTTACTTCGGCAAACCAAAAACCCTACAAGAGGCAGTAAGTTCGGCAACCAAACTCACCAACAATGCTACTCGTTCGGGAATGTTTGTAAAAGATAAGGCTTCAGGGAAGAGAAAGATGGAGGAACCTACACGAAGGCAGTCTAGGGGAAGAATGGGAAAGGCTCTGAAAATATCAGGAAACTACGGGATTCAGACTCAATCAGTAGAGAAGGAGAAAAGAACTTATCAAAGGTGTAAGAAGTGCAATAAACAACATGTCGGACGATGTATTATCTGTCAAAAATGCAACAAAGGAGGTCACTATGCCAAAGATTGCAGGAGCACAGGAAGGCGGGCATGTTTCGAGTGTGGAAGCCCATATCACTTTTGGAATGCATGTCCACGATGGAACCAGAGACCGAACACTAACCAAGCACGACCAGCCAACCCAGGGAATCAAGGAGGTCCGGCAAGAGGCCGAGTGTTTGAGATTGGAGCTAAGGAAGCAAGGCAGAATCCAGATGTAGTTACAGGTACGTTTCTATTAAATAATCATTACGTATCTGCACTATTTGATTCTGGAGCGAATAGGAGTTTTGTGTCATTAGATTTTAGACCAAAAATAAATCTAAGACCTCAAAAGTTGAAAGAMGTATACATCATTGAATATGCCAACGGTCAAGAGTGTAAGGCCAAAGACGTAATAATGGATTGCACTTTAAACTTGACTAGTAGGGATTTTCGTATAGATTTAATCCCGATCCAACTAGGAAGTTTTGACATAATTGTGGGCATGGATTGGTTATCCAAGAACAGAGCTGAAATTAGTTGTTTCGAGAAGATCGTTCGAATTCCGTTACCCGAAGGGGGAATACTCGAAGTACACGGAGAGAAACCCAGAAGGGGTATCAAAATAGTGACGTGTTTGAAGATGCGAAAGTATTTGAGAAAGGACTGCATTGCCTTTCTAGCTCACGTTATGGATAAGAAAGCTGAAGAAAAACGCGTTCAAGATATTCTTATAATTCGGGATTTTCCCGAAGTATTCCCAGATGAATTGCCTGGAATACCCCCACCAAGACAAGTTGAGTTCCACATAGAACTAAG